TGTGTGTGTGTGTGTGTGTGTTTCTCTATAAGGAGAGGTCTCTGGCCACGCCCACTCGGATGTCAGGTGTGTGTGTGTGTTTGTGTGTGTGTGTGTGTGTTGTGTGTGTGTGTGTGTGTGTGTGTGTGTGTGTGTGTTGGTGTGTGTGTGTGTGTGTGTGAGTGTTTGTCACCTTGTGTACAGGTTGACGTAGAAGCCAAAGACACACAGGCGGCACAGCCAATCGGGGAAGTCCCAGACGCCGCCCTGGAAGTAATAAGCCAATCGCAGTGGGAGGGTGAGGGAGAAGCTGAGGTCTGATAGGGCGAGGTTCATCATGACCACAGAGGAGGCGACGCTTCTGGAAAAGAACCACAGAGAGAGAACAGTAGCGCCATGTTGGTTTCTGTGTGGTTTAAATGTTGGAACAGGTGAAGAACATCGAACACGTCCAGTCAGCAGTCTGATCCAATGTCAGCACGTTTTGCAGATTTATATTTTTATCGCCTGGTGACTTTCTTTCCAGCATTTTAAAAAGTTTATCTGATGGACACATTTTTCTGTGTGCTGACAAGATCAGTTATTTGCATGCCATACACAGGTTTCCTAATCAGCTGGCACAGCAGTGATGTTGGCCTCTTCCAGGTTCAGCTGCAGGATCAGTTGTTATACCAGTCTGACCTGAATCTTTACTTTTTAATAATAAAATGTTAAGAATCTGAGATCCATTTTTTAAAGGTCACATATCCTCCTCCTCTTCTTCTTCAGTGTAAATAAGTCTCAGAGCTCCTCAAAACATGTGTGTGAAGTTTCTTGTTCTAAATCCACTCTGATCCTGTATTTGATCATGTCTATAAACCCCTCTATTTCAGCCCTGCTCAGAACAGGCTGTTTCTGTGGCTGTACCTTTAAATATGTAAATGAGCTGTGTCTGACCACACCCCCTCTCTAGAAGGGCTTGGGTGTCTCGGTCTTTCTCGCTCCATGTCCTATTGTTTACGGTGAGAAGGCAGACTCAGAGGGCAGAACAAACACCTAGCTGTGGGAGTGTCACCCACCTGGGGGAGGGGCTACTGCCCTTTGTGATGTCATGAAGGAAAAATCTCCAAACGGCCTGTTTGAGCACACATTTTCTGAAAAGTGGAGCAGACAGAAGACGGAGAGGATGGACTTTTCTCATCATTGGGGGGTTTGTAGACGGACTAGAGGAACATGTTATAACAAGATGTTAAAGTGT